TTCTGGGCCAGCTTTAGCTCTGAGGCCTTGCTGCTGAAAGCAGGTTTCTGGCCTTTACCTTCTGTATTTGATACAATGTTGCGGTCCGGCTGGCTGAAGCCCGTTTGACTGAAAGCCGGTTACTGGGGTTTTGTTTAGCTTCTATATTTGCAACATAGTTGCTTAGAGTTGCAGCTGAGAGGCCGGCAACTCAGGCGGGGAACGTTCGAGTCAGCCGTCACTGGAGCAAGCAAGCCTCCCTGTTCGCTTCAGTGCATGGCTGCCGGCCGCCATCTTGGCTGACAGTTAATTTGCATAAGGATATGCTGATTAGCCAATGGGAAGGGTAGCGGTCGTACGCTAATTACCATGTTTCTCTCTTATTAGTGTAGATTATTATAGGTATAGATATATATACTGATATATATAGATATATAGAGATATATATACACTTATAAATATATATCCAATAATGAACTATTGTCAGTTGACTAGTGCCTTGGGGGAAATAGCAGTAAAAGCCTACCATGTGGAGGCCTCTGAGTCCTTCCCCACCACCATCTGCTCCTACAACCTGAGGGTCTGAATGGAGAAAGTACCTAGTTATGGCCAATCAGCAGACTGGCATAATTCAGAAAAAAAATAAAATAAGGTTACATGCATGCCAGTTCCCAGCACACCCTGACCACAGGACAGGCTCACTCCAGGTGAATTTCCTTCCTTCCTCATTGGCTTCCATCTCACCTGCTTGCCTCTCAATGAAGTTCCGTGGGCCAGCACCTTGACTCTGTAGGCTGAAGACAGACTTTGTTTCTGGAGCCTCCTAACCCTCTACTGAGTGAACACTCTAGGGACACCATGATTTGGTTAGTCTTTAGTTGATGCTCTGTCCAGGTTGTCATCATTGCTGTCATCATCGTTGCTATCATCATCATCATCATCTTATTTTAAAACCAGCAATACTTCTCTTAAGAGACTAAGAATGTAGTTAATAAATCCCAGGGTAGGAGTGCTGGACACAGTTTGTTTTTTTTGTATGATGATTCACTGTTGAAATAAAAAATAACACCACCACCATCACCACCCCATATAATGGTATCTGTTGATTGAGATAATACATAAAGACAAAAGGGCTACTTTGAATATAATCATTCTTTTAAATTTGTCTGTGTATTATTTATTCATAGTGACATCCATTTGTAGGACATATGTGTTCAGAAAATAATATCTATTCTACAGAAAAACAGATGGAGCCCATTTGGATTTACACAGCCCTGTGTTAGATTAAAGGTCAGCCAACCATGGCCCATGAGCTAAGGCTGGTTTCTACAAGTGAACATCTTGATGATAGAAGCAATTACATCTAACCTACATTAAGCCAAATGCTATCCCCATGGAAAGAAACAATTACTATTTTTAATAGTAAACCTATATCACCCCCCAAAAAAATGTACTCAATTATTACTATTATATTTTAAATTTGGTCAAAAATTTTGTGGAAATTATTTTATAAGTGAATATTATAATGTATCTATGTAGTAATCCCCATTTTGCCTCTTGGCCCACAAAACCTAAAGTTTACTAACTGGCCCTTGACATAAAAAGTTTGCTGACTCCTGTGTTTGATCCAAAAAACCCCTAGGGATCCCACAGGTAGGGGCAGCTTCTCCAGCAACTCTCACTCCCTGAGAGAGGCTGACAAAGAAGTCAGGAGGCTGGATGTGCCTGGGCCAGGCCTTCTCCTGAGTAGGGGATGGGCTGGCAGGATATGGGGGGAGGTGCATTGCTACTCCTAAACCATCAGAAGCCACCAATTGAATGTTAACGTTGTAAAAGATTCCTCTTGCTCAGGTCTGGATTTTTCAGCTAAACTAGCTTCCCGGAGGAAGAAAAAGATCATAGTTGTTCTCCTGTGATTTTCGGTGCCTTCTAGCGATCCACTGCAGTCTAGAAGCTAGCGTCCCGAGTATGCAGGAGCTTCTCTGGGCCAGCTTGAGAACAGTGTTATTTGTAAACCCACTAAGCCCCACAGGGAAAAGAACCTGGCAGCACATCAAAAGCAGGTGGTCAGAGGCTCTTTGGGCTAAGCTCTCCCGCCCTTGGATTTCAGTTTTGTCTCCAGATCCACCCAGGAACACCGCAATGCAGAGCTGATGGCCCAAGGTGTCCCTGGGCTCCCTGTCCAGGGAAACCTGCTCACTGACCTTCTTTGCACAGTCAGGATGCCTGTTCCACATCCAGCCTCCTCCATGCTCACTCACACTACCTCGCCTCACCACAACCCACAGTCTCTGTAATTGATTTCTCTTCCTTTCTGGCTTAACCCAGAGCCACCTCCACAAACCTCCAATAACCAGGTCCCTATGGGTTACAGGAGATGTTCAGGTTGTGTGACAGCTTAATTAGATCACTTTGTGATGACAGCCAGGCATGCTGCTGTGGGTGAGCATGGGTAAGAGGCTTAAGGCCTTAGAGAAAGGTGATACAAAATGTTCGCTGTCTTATAAACAGTTGTTCAATCGTTGTTTGATTTCTGTCCTTCGGGAGGAGGATTTCCATCAGCTCCCCCATGGCATCATCTCTGCACGCAAATGATGTGTGCCAAGACCTTACAGGATCCAGGCTGCTATGCCTAAGTGTGCCTTTTCAAAATCAAATTTCACTTATTTCTCTGAATAGGTAATACATGCACACAATGCGAATGTCAAACATTTCAAAAGGTTATGCGGTGATAAATCAGTCTCCCGTCCACCCCATCCCCAAGCCTTAGGGTGGCATTGTATTTCTGTCACTAACCTGCACTGTCTGACCTTGCCCCAGTGCTTCCAATTATGAAACCTTGTATTGTTTGCATCTGACATTATTGGTTTTTTAATGGGCCTTTTATTTCAGATGGCTGAGTAAGAATGGGATTGAAGAAATCCACAGCTGTGCATTCAATGGAACCCAACTAGATGAGCTGTAAGTAGCCCTGACTATTCTTCCAGGCCATTGAGAGGGAAATGGCTCTTAGAACAGTGATGTTTATGTGGCTTTGTGTTTCCCTTCTTCTTTCCTCCACTCCATCCCTAGGAATCTAAGTGACAACAATAATTTGGAAGAATTGCCTAATGATGTTTTCCAGGGAGCCTCTGGACCAGTCATTCTGTGAGTAGCTTGTCCCATTACCATGCACAAGAGATCAGCGTGTAAAAATAAGTTAGAAGTCAACTTTCTCCAATTCATAAAAGCTTCAAGATAGGGCTGGAAATCCAGGTCAATTTTGGTCTGTCATCTGCAAAATATAGGGACAATTTAGGGCTGGTCCAAATTCTAACTTTCAGTGAAATAACAACATGTAAGGAGCACTTACCAAGTCCTAGACAGTGTTTTAAAAGTTTAAGATGCCTTTTCTAATTTAATCCTTATAATAACCTCTGCAGTAGAAGCTTCTAGTCTCATTTTGGAGAAGGAAAATCTGGCTTCCCTGGAGGGGTTAACTAACTCATCCACAGTCACAAAATTTTAGAGCCGGACTTTAACACCAAACTGGTCTGACTCAGTACAGACTCCTAACCACTCTGCCAGATTCCTCTTCCCTGGAAGGGAGTGCACATTCCTTCCTTACCCTCAATGCACAGAAGTTTTCCTCACCCAGTGAGACACACACACACACACACACACACATCCATTTTTGAATCCTCGCTACCTCGATTCCAGATCTCCTGGGATTCATTCAGTGCCTCATAGTCCTGCATCAGCACCTTTGTCTCTATTGTTGCTTCCACATCTCCCTCTTTCCCTCCAGGAGTGACTTTCCCTTATTCTCTTCTCATCTGCCTCTGCCTTCCACAGAGTCATTCTAATTCCCACCTCTTCCCTCAGCCAACAGCTAATTCTTCCTTCTGTGACTCCCACAGCCTTCATGGCTGCAAGGACCAAAATCTGCAAGAGCTTTTAGAAAATGTGTTTTCCAGGGCTCTAAACAAGACCTACTACACCTACTGATGAATTTACTATAGGAAGAAGGAAGGAACCCAAAAGGAAGGAGTCAGATGCAAGAAGAAATAATGAACAAAACAAACAAACAAACAAACAGATAAACACATGAATAAATCTAAAGGTTTTTCTAGGTGATCCTATATAGCTGTCTAAGGCAGTGATGGTGAACCTTTTGAGCTCGGGGTGTCAGCATTTTGAAAAACCCTAACTTAACTCTGGTGCCGTGTCACATATAGAAATTTTTTGATATTTGCAATCATAGTAAAACAAAGACTTATATTTTTTATATTTATTTTATATATTTAAATGCCATTTAACAAAGAAAAATCAACCAAAAAATGAGTTCGCGTGTCACCTCTGACACGCGTGTCATAGGTTCACCATCACTGGTCTAAGGTCAGTGAGCATCTGGGAGCCACTCATCTACCAGTATACCTCTTATTCAGCAGTCAGTATAATATAATATATGTGGTTTCCTACCTATCACCTATCAACATCACTTTCATTTTTACCAAAAAGCTTATATTCTTCTTCTAGCTGGAACTTATGTATCTTCTAGGTTCTTTTCCCTATTGGGCTTAGTGGGTTTACAAATAACACTAGACCCTATAGGGTGAAGCAGAAATTCATAAAATGGTTGATATTGATGGCAAAGGATGTGTTGTAACCAGTACATGAGACTCTGCCTCTTTGAAGAAAAAAAGTTCAAAGAAATATAAGGAAAAGGAAGAAGTATGAGCATGATGAAAGGGGAGGTGCCAGACAGACTACCTGGGTTTAAAGCCAGTTCTTTCCCCTCAGCAAGCCGTCATTTCCTCACCAAAATGAAGTGGCAAAAACTATATAATACCTAATTCCTAATACTATTGGAGGCTTAACAATATTATATATATATATATACATAAATGTGTGTATGTGTATATTTATATATTCACTCGTTGAACAGGTGGATGTTAAGAACCAGCCCTGCACCATACACCATATATAGTGCAGGAGACAAAAGAAAGCTCCTCCTCACAGAAAGCTTATATTCTCATAATGGCCAGTCAGACCCTAACTAAGCATATAACAATATATCAGGCCATGATGCATGCTATTAACACCAAATAGAAAAGAGCATAACAAATAAAGAGTGCCGGGCATAGTCCATGGGCCCAATTACACAAAGTACTTAGAACTTGTAATGCTTAATTAATGTTTCCTATTCTTAGTGTACTCGGAAGATAAATAAACTTCGAGAAAGTGCTCTAGATGTCTTTGACCACCAGAATAGCAGTTTGTCAATTCACAAAGCTAAAATTCCTAAGGGTCTTGAATGTTCCTAAATAGGTACCTCCCTCTGTTATGGCCGAACATACCTGTGATAGGAAGGATAGGTTTCCATATGTCACCTGTACCAGGTACACTATTAAGTCATAGCACCTTCACCACTGACTGCTACCAAGAACATTCAAGTTGGACAGAATCCCCAACTAGCTCGTTATCCTGGGAAGTGACCTGCTAGAGATCACACTGCCACCGTAAGCCACAGGGCTTGGACCAGAAACTAGGTCTTCTGCCTCACGTGCCATGTATTCCCACAATCTCATGTTGCCTCAAGTACATAAATATGTCTAATTAGGTAAGGACCCTGCCATTGGCTGCAAACTAAAACAGAGGAGAGAATAATTATAAATACCAGGCTCCCAGCCCAAGAACATACACACAGCACAGAAGACTGTCTCCTGTGGCTGTACAAGCTGGTCCCAGGCTGAGGCACAGTGTGCGCAGTGTGTGCCCTCAGAGGGTCTGATGGAGAACATGTCGGAGCCCACCCGCTGCCTGACCACATGGCTGGCAAGAAGAGGGATGTCACCACCACAGGCAGCTGTGGAGGGTCCTCAAGTTACAGGCCCATTTTTCACCCCTTTTACCATAGGAACATACCTGGCCAAAAAGAAGTAAATGAAATTTACAGAAAATCCAAAGGAACTATGAGCACTTGCCATGACTTAAAAGGGTAGAGAGTGATACTGCATTCCTCCACCTTTCAATCTCAATGCATGAGCATATATATGCAAGATCCTGGCCAAGATCCCCGCCTATCCTATAGTAATTGCTAGTGTCCTTCTCCTCCCTTTAGAGGGAAGAAGATTGATCACCTTAACATCAAGGCTCCCATTCTGGGGCTTTCAGGTTAGTCCACAGATGTCTTTCCAGCCTCTCTGCTTGCTGACCTGGGACTATGGCCTTTCCCATCTTCTACTTGTGCAACCTGATGTGCCAACCCAAGCTAAACCCTGGCCTAGGAGCTACTTGGTAAGGTATGTGCAGAAGACCTGCCCACTCCAGGTGCTGTGGGTTGATGGGTAGGAGAAGGAGTGTGCACAGACTGTTCAGCCCACAGGAGATGCCACCCAGGCTAGTGCTGGGACTGTGCCTTGGGTCAGATTCCTCTCCCTGCCAATGAGACTGTGATATGGATATTTGCATGCAGGGGGTTTACTGGGAAGTGCTTGATGGAAGAAAACTCAGGTGAAGAGGGAAGTTGACAGCAATGCATTTGCAACAGAGGCCTCAGCTGATCCCACGGGGAGCTCTGGAGTTAAGATGGCCCTTCAAAGTTGTACTGGATTAAGGCAAGGGGCCAGTCCTCTTCATCAGCAGTTACTGGGTGCAGGCTGTCCCTGGGCAGGAGCCAAATCTTGGGTAAGTCAAACAAGGGCAATTCCCAAAGTAGAGCTAAGCTATGAGCCATCTCAGCAGTGAGATGGTGCACAATTGCCCTCAAGCAGTGGTTCTAAATTTGACCATGCATCAGACTCACCCGGCGTGCTGGGGAAAGCCTCAAGAGCCGATCCCCACACCCAGAGTTTTTGATTCAGCAAGTCAGGACTAGCAGGGAGGACAGTTTGAGAAACTGCAGCTCTGAGAACTTCCCAGCTGACATTGCTGGTCCTCACAGCACAGAATCACTGCCTTCGCACCAATGCTGGGGCTTGAGAAGCCTCGCCCTGTTTCTATACATTCTCTTCCATGAGCCAGCGGTGTGAATCTTCCTCCCCAACAGCAGGCATGTGCAAGGAATCCTAAGGGAGTTCAGGGGAGGGCACCCAAACAATGAGAACTCCTTTCCTGAAGGCAAAAATGTTAGTTGAGTGTAAAACAGGGAGCCTCTGGACACCCGAGGGTACAAGGGCGAGATGTTCCATTGCAAAGAGAAATAGATTCAGAGAAAGCCAGGGGCACACAGACAAGCTGCATCGGGTTTCAGAGGAGCAGCCTAGCATCCCGATTTCCTCCTCATGAGTCTTGACCTTGAACGCCAGTGGCCATCTGAGTTTTCACCTGATATTCTGAACTCACTCAAGTTTGTTTTCTTAAGCAATCAAGCAATTGCTGTTTCTTTAGGAAACAGTTTCCTGTGGGAAAATTTTAATGCATTGCCTTTGCAAGCTGGAGCCAGTACAATCATATTCTGATAGTTTATCAAATTGATTTGGCTATAGTTCAGATTCATTTGATAGTTGAGATTCAAACACTGAGTTATTTGTATAAGAATGATTCTCTTCCATTACCAGTGTACCCACAGTCCTATAGACAGTAAATTGCCTTTTCATTCCGCCTGGGATCATGAAAGAGAGGTCTTCTAACCATCTGTCAGTGTAGTACACACCAGAAATGTGCTGGCACTTATGGAAATGATTGACCTATAATAACATCTTTGCTGGGAAAAATAGAAATTGTTCAAATCAAATTTGTGGCGCTAGCTATAACACACTTTATTAAACGGGGCACAGAGCACAATTTAACTCCTGCCTCTCCTGACTCAGCGTCTTATTACTGACTGCTGTCTCCCTCTCCACTTCACATCTCAAAATCAAGAATCCTAACAATGTTGAAACAGTTTAGGATTACTAAATCTCTTCAGTGCCAGCCATCATCCATGAATACTCCCATTGGTCCATGTCAGGATTTAAATTCTCAAAACCAGTCACTGCCAGAACATAGCATGTGCTGAAATGTTAACCAGAATGGCATCTTATGACTGCAGCCATTAAACCAACCAGGAAGACGAGGATTAAAAACACCAGCCCGCCCAAGACTACCCCTGTCCCCTTGCCCAGCCCACCATCCCTATAAATGTCAGCAATAAAGCAAACATTCTCAACTATTCATTGAGCATATTAGGTCTTACAGGTTATACATGTAGTAGATGTTGATTGAGCACCTACTATGTGTCTGATACTATGTTAGGTGTAGGGGATAGAGGGACTTAAAAACAAATAGTACCTGCACTGAAGTATCCTGCAGAGGGACAAATGTCACTGCCCAGAACAATAAGCTCTGCAGAAATTGTCACAGGTTATAGTAACATAACAGGTGTCCAATAAATCTCTGTCATGTGATACAGTGACTTTTAACAGATGAAGTGACAGTGTGTGGGAAGGTGAGCTCTTAGCTTATGCCTAAACTTCTGCATCAGCCTTCGTCTCCTTCCTATCTTCAATCCTTTCTCCTTCTGACTCATTTAACAAGTATTTATGAGCACCTACTATGTGCCAGGCTCAAGGTTCTCAAGATCAATCTTATAAAAACACAGCTTTCAATAAGCCATTCTTCTGCTTATATAAATTCTAAACTCTGATACCTGGCTTTCAAGGTTCAAATCCCATCCTGTGGTTCCCCCCTTTCATCCAGAATAATCTTGGTTGCCCAGAATAATCCTTCTGAAAACCTCTCACTGCCACACTTTGTGCTCTGGGCCTCTCAACAAGCCTACCTTATCCTATAATCATAACAACCTACTTCCATGAGATGTGAATAACTGATAATGTCTTATTTTGTTACTCCCCCAGGGATATTTGCATCCTTAGAGTGGAAAGTGCTTTTACACAGGAATTAAAACCTAACATTAGATTTCCAGGCCACATGGAAGAATCATAGCCAGGGAATGGACTGTGTGTGTCTGTGTGCCCCTGTGTTTGTATTTGTGTGTGTGTGTGTGTGTGTGAATAGTATCTGTTGCTAAGTGTCAAATCACACGGAACAGTATCCTCTTATCTTTATCACTGCTGACATAAATTTCTATGAACTTTTCTTACTCCATGGAGAAACCAGAGAAATATTTCTCTGCCAGTCCAAAATGTAGAAGTCTTGAAAGTTTCCATGTCTGCTAACTTCAGCAAGTATCCAGTAACCTTTAAGCAAACACATCTACAAACACTTTTATTTCCCAACCACCCAGGAACCACTTTTACTAAAGTCTTTTGCTTTATCAAACTCTCGAAGTGTCTACCAACCATTCCCTCCTTTCAACATCAACCAGGAGAAGATCTGGGTGCCAGGACTTTGACAAGATGCCTTAGTCTCAGGGCAACAAAGTTACCTGGTGCAAATGACAGCAGCTCACAGATTCTGCAGCTGTGAAAAGGAGGAATCAGCTGACTCCAGAACACTGAGCAGACAGAAAGGCACCAGAGCTTCCCTAATAGTTCCCAATCAAATCCCAAGGCATTGGATTGCATTCACGTCAACCCACCCCACACATTATCCTATTTATTCTATCTCCTTGTAAACTTTGCGCAAGGTTGCTCCTTTCCTGGTGTCTTTGATGCTGTCAGTCACAAACAGCTGCCTGCTGCAGAAACACCCTTTTGCTGAGCTCCCTTTAAATCCAGATTTCCTCTCTCAGTCTATGTTGCGTATTTCTTTTTTTTAAATTGCTCCCCTGTAAGACTTGCTTCAGCCTCTCATTGTTATTATGATGCTGAGGCATCTCTGCTCTCAGACAAGTATCTATTGAATAGATTTCATGAGCACAGCCATGTGCCAGATATGATGTAGAACACAAAAATATCTTAATAATCCCTGCTCTTAGAGCATCTGAAGTCTGGCCGAGGAGACAAAACAAATATACATGAAAAGTCAAACAATATGAAAGCATAGAAGAGATAATACAAGGTACAAGATTCTTAGTAATTGCTAGAGGTTAGAAGACATCACCGTTGGCTGGGGTGATCTATTTATTCCCTTCCCCAATCCTTCAGTGTTACTCCCCAGCCTATCTTCAAACAAAACAACCATTTCCTGGGTGCTTGCAATGTGAAAGGCACTGTTTGGAATGCAAGGAACCCTCTGCCCTCTAGGAGAGATAAAATGCAAATACAAAGAGTTACTTTATAAAGCAAAAGATAGTAAGTGGTGAGAGAGGCAGAAAGCATACAAACCTAATGCTATTGTGCTCCTCGTGGCTTTCAAGGAAAAATACTTCTACAACTGGTAAAAGTGATCGAGATGATGGAATCACAGAGACTTCAATGGGAGTGTGCTTTGGTTTGCCACTGCTGCATAAAAACTACCCTAAAACTTAGTAGCTTAAATCGTTCCACTTTGCTCACAATTTTGTGTTTCAGAAATCTTGCTGTTTTGTCTCTGATCATGTGATGTGTGAGAGAGAAAGAGAGATTGATTAATTTATGGATAATAGCTGCTAGCCACGTGCTGTCTTTTGCCCAGGAAGTTCTTCATGTATTTTATTTAGCTCATTTAATTCTCACAACAACCTTCTGAGGTGGATATGATTATTATCATTCCTATTTTATAGCTGAGGAAATTGAAACATGGAGAAGTGACATTTGAGCAAGGCCACAAATCTGAAAGGTAGAGGGGCAGGGTACATATGCAGGCAAGTCATTGCCATTTTGACTTTGTGCTGAGGGTGTCTCTACCACCCACCTGACTCCTCTTCCCCTTACAGTGTATTCTCTTCTCACCCTTTTCTGATATTTGGCCATAGATTCCACCCCAGCTTATCAGAACTATTTTTAAGCTGGTTTTACAGTGGGAAGGAGATTATCAGAATCCCTCACTTCTATGCAAATTTGTTGGTCTATTCTATAGACTGTAGAAAGGGAGAGGGCTACATTTAAGCCCCAGATCAGCCAGGATGAAAGTATATTCAGAATTCAATGTGTCCTGTTACTTAAGTCCTCCTACCACAAACACAAGGGTCAGGGCTTCTACTGAACCAGGCTTCTACTGAACCAAATTCCTGTTAACAGAATATTGATCTGACCGAGGTATGTTGGATGAATTGGAGTCTCCCTCCTCACCCATGTAAGAGGATCACTGCTGTGTCTGCTATTTTGCCTGTTAATGGAGCAGAAAATTTTAGACCCATGGTAATCAGGTTATGTTTACTTTTTCTCTTTTTAGAGATATTTCAAGAACCAGGATCCATTCCCTGCCTAGCTATGGCTTAGAAAATCTTAAGAAGCTGCGGGCCAGGTCGACTTACAACTTAAAAAAGCTTCCCAGTCTAGAAAAGCTTGTTGCACTCACGGAGGCCAGCCTCACCTACCCCAGCCACTGCTGTGCCTTTGCAAACTGGAGACAGCAAATGTGAGTCTTCTCCTGTCCACCCCTTGAGCCTTGCTTGGGAGTTCTCCAATGCAGAAGTTGGTCCACAACTTCTATGTACCTGTGGCATTAAGAGAATCCACTAGAAGCGAGATCTTCCTGATGAAAGCCCTTAGACATATTCTAGATCAAAGCCTTGGTATTGTGGAGGGTTTCTAGTTTCTCTGAAAATGGGCTCACGGAAGAAGGCTACCCCCATGGTAGACTACCTACCAAATGTTAAATGAGATAACATGAAAAACACCAAGTATAGTGCCTAATGCATGGCTGATGCTAAATTAATATTTCTTCCCTTTTTCCTCTAAATATGGACTTATCCTTCAAGTCCCAACTCTTTGCCCCATAAGTGTCCCAGGAACCACCAAAGTCAACTTTGGAGGGAAGAAGCATAAAGACCACACCAGAGACTGATGCACACACATCCATGGCACATCCCAGCCATGCTAAGCCTCTCTAATCCATCTTTGGCTTTTAGCATCTCACAGGGAGAACAAGTTTGGGACATCTGTTCATTTGGCTTTCAAGGTTGGTCAGATTAAAGAAAGTGATCCCAATAGAGCCATATCCCAGAAGATAACTGGACACACACAAAAAAATGAAATAATCATTGCCAGGATCTGGAGAGAGTGAAGAGGGAATATTGTGGAGCTTGCACATGTTCCAGACATTCAAAGAATCCACTGGAGATAGAATTATGGGATACCAGGAGTTCTCTGGGCTCTCACCCACCCCTGAACCGATACAATCCACACCATGCACTACACTCAATCACGTGATGCCTTGTCACCACTCTTATATGGTAGCCCAGCACTGATACAGCTTTCTGTTGCTGTTATTTCACTGTTTAATGCAGTGTCCTCTATTATGCAACTTTTAACGTGCATTGACCTGCTCATGTAGACATATCTCCTGCTCAAAAGCAAAACAAAACAAAACAAACAAATAAAAACTACAAACAAAACATCTTAAAGTGGTTTTGAAGTAAATAGAGGTTCACCCTCAGACCCATCTGAAAGATTTTCAGGAAAGGGATCCCTTTTCAGAATTTGCATGCAAATTCACTGGGAAACAATCCAGTACTGGACACTCCTCACCAATTAGCTCAAGGGCCAAAGAATTTCTTCCAAATGACTAAAATTCTTAAGGGCTTGGGCTGAGGCAGGAGGCTTGCCTCTTTTATATTCCACACAAGAGTTGTTCTAGCCAGGGCAAGAAATATACCAATTCACTGCCAAAATCCTGGAACTGAAGGCCTCTCGGGAGAAATCTCAAAGGATATTAAGATCACTGCAAGCATAGCACATGGTATGCTGTTGGGCCCCGTGCCAATATGCCACAGGAATATATATTATCTATTGTGTTGCTCCTACTCCTCTGGTCTTGCCACCTGCTATAGTGTACATGTAGCCTCGGGGCTCTCCCAACCAGAAATCTCCAGGGCGGCCTTGCACTGTCCCATCACTGGGAGCCTTCCCTGGTCCCTCCAGACCACCCAGCTCTCACCCTTTCTAGGTCCCTATGGTAACTTGCCATCAGGGCCCATTGGGTACAGCAAAGGAGAGGCCCATGCCTCTTCTTAAAAAAAAAATGACAAAACAAAGGAAAATAGCTGTGGGTGTTTAGTCTTTAATTGACACATTTACACACACAAAAACAAAGTAGTTATGCTATTCAGAAGATAACCACAGGATATTTTTAACGGTGTCATTTCATTGTATACCATATTAGGTGTAGTTTGGTAATGAGATTCGAGTTCAAAGTTGTAGGATGAAATTGTTCTTCCAGTCCTCATTTGGAAATGCCCAAAGTGTAAATATTAGGCCCTCATGACTGTGAGGTCTTGGTCAGTGGCCCTCCTGGACTCTCACTGAAAGACTTTGTTAACCACACCCCTCATCTGTCACTGAACCAGTTAGTTCCTTGTCATAGTTATACTTAGCTTGCACTGTTATTTTGTTATTTAATTTCTCTCGTATCTAGGCCTTTTCTTCACAGCTAGCTTTTTAACTGATGCACAATGACATATGCTTCTAAGTGCCCACATAGGGCCTAGACCCCAACATGATAGTAGCCACGATCATCTGTCTTCTTACTGCTGATACTTGCTGAGGGCTCACTGCCAGGCACTGTAATGCTTTGCACCTCTATCTCATTTAATTCTTACAAAGGTAACAGTGCTATTTCTATTCCTTTCCAACAGAGACAGAAACTGGGGCTCAGAGACAGTAAATAACTTGACCAGCACCAACCAAACTCAGATCCAAACCCTCTGGTCTATGTGTCTCCAAAGCTCAGGCTCTGGGCCACCCCACCATGCACTTCCCAAATATCTGTTCATTGATTTATCAGGGTCTGAGAGTACCACTTTCTCAACTGACCCTAAACTGAATTCCCAACTCTCTGATTCTTAGAATTTGCAAAGGGACTGCAGGGGCAAGATATTATTTCCCTCATTTCCATCTTTGTTTTTACTCTTTTCTCAGAGATATGCATTGCTTACTTTTTCTGCACTCATGTTGTTGGGTCACTCTATTTGTGGAAATGAAAGCATCAATATTTAAAATGTATTGGTAGTGGTATCAACAGTAAGAATCTTCCCAGAATCCAACATCAGCCCCGGGAAGTGAAGGCTGTCTCTAGATGGTTAAACCAGATTTGTTCCAATGAACAGATTAGAGTCTGCAGGCACCAGATTACTTACTCTCTGTTCGTAGATTGTGTTGTCACTGATCCAATGACAGCTGTGGCAGGGTTTGAAAGACCACAGAGTATTCTCTTGTCCCCTCTATGCCTATCTCTGAGCTTGCATCACCTTTCTTGTAAGATCTCTGACTAAAACAAAAGATTTTCTGTGCATTTTCAATTACATGTATGTTAACTGTGTAGCCCCCTTTGTGCAATCCATGACTGATGTGAGAAGCCCTATTACTCTCTAAAACAAAAGACGGCACAGTCTCTAACAACAACCAAAAAAGAGAGAGTGCTTTGGGCCAAGAGAAAATGATTTCCTGGCAAACCAACTCACTTCTCAGAGGAAGAAAAGAGAGGAAAGGATTCTCCCTAACAACCCTGCTCCTAGACATTAGTGGGGAGTCAGTCTTTGCAGGTTGGGACACTTGGCTGCACTCACCCTTGACTGTCAAATGGTATTTCTACTTCCTCCACTCCCTCAGCCATTCTCTCCTTCTTATGAGGGTCTTTGAAGAGTTTTAACACTCGCTTCACGCTCACATGAAACTATGTTAAGGTTTGAGAGAAAGGCAGTCATTTACATTGCTGTGAGCTTGTCCCTTTGGGAGGGAGGGAGTTAGGGAACAGCATAGTGCTGGTGATTCTGATTACCAACCAATACAAACTCAAAGTCCCCCAGTTCCATCGTAAAAGAGACCCAGTGTGAAACATCCCCATTCCTTTGAAGCCTTCACTTCAAAACAGAACTGTTACCCTCTCTGTCTACCTGTGCCATTCACCTGTCTGGGTAGAATATTTATGATCTGGCTGTCATTCACATCACTTATGAAAGTCCCCCTATTCTGTTGACAAGGCCTCTTGTACATTTGGGTATAAAAGGAAAACTGAGACTGAAAAGTGAGCCCAAGAAGAGCCAGCTCCCAGGAGATGACTTACAATCTTGGGATAAATCAGGGCCCCTTGCAACCTGCATTTGCTCTTTGGCGCATTCACTAGGGAACAATTTAATATGAGAGAGCCAGGTTTACTCTGTGGACAAATGCATGTCTGAAGCCTACTGTGGCCCCTGGAGAGTGAGATAATAATAGGAGCCTCAGTAACATTTCAAGCAAATTAGCAGGTCTCCCAATACCCTAAGTATCAAGGAGCCAGGGACAGGGGCTGGCTGGGAACTAACCACAGACAGATCCTCCAATTTATGTAGATAAAAGAAGCAAGTATGTTCTCATTTGAGTCAGAAAACTGTCCAGATCTCCCAGCGACCTAAGTACAGAGTACAGGAATGGGAATAGACACTACTCGTGCATATTAAAAGATAGCTGAATGGAGATGGGGGAGGGAAGAAGTAGAGTTGATATGAGATCTGTAAATTATTTGCACTTAACAGCAAAGGCTTAGCTAGTCCCAGGCGCCTTCCTCCCCACATTCAGGTTGTGGCCAGATGGTTTCCCCAGTGGGCCATCTAACTCTAGGAATACATACATGAGTTGTTCTGCTCATTTACAGTAAGCAGCATTAACCCTTGATCTCAGCCTCAAGGGCAGACAGACTGGTAGAAAGGGGGGAAATCTCAGAAAGAAACCCCATCATCCCTACTCTATGCAAAGACAGTGATATATCTGCCATTTTGGATCCAGGATGTTGATTCTATTCCTTTGTGTATTTTTCTAGTTCTGAGCGTCATCCAATTTGCAACAAATCTATTTTAAGGCAAGAAGTTGATGACATGACTCAGGCTAGGGGTCAGAGAATCTCTTTGGCAGAAGACGATGAGTCCAGTTACACCAAAGGATTTGACATGATGTACAGTGAATTTGACTATGGCTTATGCAGTGAAGTGGTTGACGTGACTTGCTCTCCTAAGCCAGATGCATTCAATCCATGTGAAGATATCATGGGGTATGATATTCTCAGAATCTTGATATGGTTTATTAGCATCCTGGCCATCACTGGGAACATTGTGGTGCTGGTGATTCTGATTACCAGCCAATACAAACTCACAGTCCCCCGGTTCCTAATGTGCAACCTGGCCTTTGCCGATCTCTGCATTGGAATCTACCTGCTGCTCATAGCATCTGTCGATATCCACACCAAAAGCCAGTACCACAACTATGCCATTGATTGGCAAACTGGAGCAGGCTGTGACGCTGCCGGTTTTTTCACTGTCTTTGCCAGTGAGCTCTCAGTCTACACGCTAATAGCCATCACTCTGGAAAGATGGCACACCATCACCCATGCCATGCAGCTGGAATGTCGGGTGCAGCTCCGCCATGCTGCCAGTGTCATGCTGGGAGGCTGGATCTTCGCTTTTGCAGTCGCCCTCTTTCCCATCTTTGGCATTAGCAGCTACATGAAGGTGAGCATCTGCCTGCCCATGGATATTGACAGCCCCTTGTCACAGCTGTATGTTCTGTCCCTCCTTGTGCTCAATGTCCTGGCCTTTGTGGTGATCTGTGGCTGCTACATTCACATCTACTTCACAGTGAGGAACCCTAACATCATGTCCTCCTCTAGTGATACCAAAATTGCCAAGCGCATGGCCGTGCTCATCTTCACAGACTTCCTCTGCATGGCACCCATCTCCTTCTTTGCCATCTCTGCCTCCCTCAAAGTGCCCCTCATCACCGTGTCCAAGTCAAAGATCCTCCTGGTCCTGTTCTACCCCATCAACTCCTGTGCAAACCCTTTCCTCTATGCCATCTTCACCAAGAACTTCCGCAGGGATTTCTTCATTCTGCTGAGCAAGTTCGGCTGCTATGAAATGCAAGCCCAGATTTATAGGACAGAAAACTCATCCAGTGCCCACAACTCCCATCCAAGGAATGGCCACTGCCCTACAGTTCCCAGGGTAACCAATGGCTCCAATTACACACTTGTCCCTCTAAGCCATTTAGCCCAGAAATAAAACAATGTATAAATATAACCAAGTGTGGAATGATAATTGTCTTGCCTCTGGAAACTATGCCATGGAATAGCTGACAGAGTGTTTTCACATACTTCATCTAACTTTATTTTCCTTGCTTACCTAACAGGTAAATTGGTTGGGAACTGTTAACTCCATATGATATATTAGGAAGCTGAAGTATTAATAACATTAATAATTAAAATAACACAATACTGCAAAATCACATTTCTTTTGCACTTTGTAATGTTCACAGTGCTTTTGTTCAGACCACCTCAACTGATCCCTATAAAAGTCCCATTAAATAGGCAGAACATGGGTTATTCTTGGAGTTTTTCAGATGAGGAAATCAAGGGGTTAAGTGACTCAAAGGATTAAGTGACTTGTTCAAAATTGCTTGGCTTGTAAGAGGTAGAGCCAGGATTAGGTGTTCTGACAACCAGAAAACTTCCAAAAGCAGCAACACAATAAATATTCATTCATTCATTCATTCATTCATTCAACAAATATGTATTGAGAACTCACATGATGGCTTTGTAATGTGTCAAATTGGATAGGCTGAACTACATTTCCCAGAATTCCCTGCCTTATGTTTTCTACTAGGGTGGGCCACTGGGAGGATTCTTGGAAAAACAGGAGAACAACAAGGATGAAGCAGCCATTTGGTCATTCATACAGTTTATTGCTGATCTGCTGATTCAGCTCATTGCAATGCAGCAGCAGCTGGTCCAGCAATTGCTCCACCTTACCCTGGATCCTCCTTCAAGTTCTCTGACTCCTGGACTAGGTTCTGTATTCTACCAATTATGGTTCTACTAAAGAAGCAGAACCAGTCATGCATGCACAGGTATATATAAGGTGTCCCAAAAAAATGTATATGCACTTTAAATAATTATAAAAGCAGTGTTTATTAAAATACATTTCATCGTCAAAATTGAGCTATGAGCTGTTAAAGTGTATATACATGATTTAGGGACACCCTGTATATGTTATAGGGAATTGGCTTATACTTGTGGGGATTGATTAAGCAGCCTTTATAAGGCTGTCCTCTCCACATGTGATGCTGGAGAGTGAAGTCCACAGGGCAAGCAGTCACAAAGGGAAGATCATGATCATTCAGGAAATTATAAGCATGATATGAAACCCCACAAGGTCAAACTGAGCCACATTTTTGTTCTTATTGCCTCTAATCTTTTTTTAAAATATATTTTATTGATTTTTTTACAGAGAGGAAGGGAGAGGGATAGAGAGTTAGAAACATTGATGAGAGAGAAACATCGATCAGCTGCCTCCTGCACACCTCCCACTGGGGATGTGC